TCTGTTTTTCAGGTATATGAGCTTGAACTTGGATTTAGTAAGAACGAAATCCGTCACATTGCACACACGGTCCCTAAGAACTTAAGTACAAGCAAAATAAAGTTAACACAGATGTTTGATTATCTGCATAACGTAATGGGCATTCCCCACAAACTTATGGTACTTTTTCCTCAGGTGAGAATCTTGAAGTTTATCTAATTACTACAGTCATTGGAGCACAAAATGTGAAAACTAGTTTAAGGGGAAATTATGCAGATTATAAACCAACCCAGTGTATTTATTTAATAGATTTATATGGCTGCCCATCTCATATGCATGACTCTGGGTGGCTAAGAGTTAAAAACGGAATAAAAAGATAGTAAAAACAACAGAAATAACATAAAATAGCATAGCAGCCAAGAACACTCAGTTAATATAATCATGACCAAGAAACAGGCTCACCCATACTATCATGATGTAAGGAGATTGATTAATGTATTTTAAAATGTAAGTGAAATTGCCCATATTTATGAAAATTATTTGCAGATGTCACTAACTTTAACACCATGTTGTTCAATGCCATATTTACTCAGAACTGTATGCTGCTGATTTCAGTATGAATTACTCCCAAATAAGTATACATTTCATTCTTTTCCATTTTAGATTTTTAATGCAAAGTTATTACGAATCAAAGAAAGACATCTGTTTCTTAAGTTCCTGGGAAGGGCCCAATATGATCCAGGGCAGCCAAGCTACATCTCCTTGGAAAAATTGGTAGTCTTGCCAGATGATGTGTTTTGTGCTGACGTTGCTAAAGCAGAAGTAAAGGACTTTGAAAAATTTCTGAAAACACTGTAAAGAATAATAAAAAAAAAACCTTATTATAAAATACATCTGCTAGTGTGTCTTATAACTACAAATTTTGTGGTAAAAGTAATAACAAAACTATGTCAATACGTAAAATGACATTGGTGTGCTGGTAAAAGGTAGATAAGTAAACCAAACATCTTAAACCAAACAAACGGATATTTGAGCATTTACGGTTATATGTGCGGTCCCCAGTGTTTCCCAACTATGACCTAGATGTAATGTTTACCTAAGTATAAGAGTATATGGTTTTAGATTTATTCCACAGTGATGGTAACAAGTCAATATTATTACATTCAAAACCTGCTATTTTTAGTGCTGTCTTATCAGGAGTCGGGTAGCACCTTTTCAGATTAACAAACTTATTTGAAGGCATACATTTTTGTGAGATACAGCTCATTTCATCAGACGCAGTGGAGTTACTAGACTGATGAAACTGATGTAAGATTTAAACTGGCATAAGGTGGGAGAAGGAGGGATGGTTATGCAGGTACAGGTTACATGTGAGACAAATTAAAAATACCTTATCAAATTGAAGGTATTCTGTAACCATAATCACTATAAATCACACCAAACCAAAAGTCTCATAATTTCTCATTTATTTTAGGGACTGTATTCATCTCAGGTCTGTTTTGCATGCTTGTAGTGTCATTCTACAATTGCATAATTAGTTGTAGCATATTCCAAACTCTACTGCAGAAACATTTCTTTTTTTAAAGAAAAAAAGGTTGCTTGATAATTAATGAGAGTTCTTGATTTCAGTGAATATAAGTGTGATATTCTCTGGAGCATTTAGCAATATCAGGTATGCATGATATATCACCCCAGCTTCCCAAAGCAGATGTTTATGCATTGACAGCTCAGGTCTGTAAGATAGTTAGAAGTACCTTTAGCAGAATTTCCTTATGTATTCTTTAGGACTTAAGGTATGGTTTCCATTGATGGAGAGACCATCCTGCCAATATGAATGCTCAATTCATGATAACTTGAAGTGTCTTAGAGACGTTGGGTTTGTCGATGCACTTCCATCCCATTCTCAACTTTTGCATTGCATGGGTGATTCACTGGCCTTGGTCTATATGCAAATGATTTCTGTATCTGCTGTTCTAATCTAGGTCATATTTGATAATATGGTCTTAGAACAGGATCACAATGGAACCATTGCAGAATAGAGCTGTGTGTCCAATGCAGAAATTGTAACTGTTTGCAGCTGAGTTGCTTCCTAGGATGTCCGTGGTGTACAAAGTCACCATCTGTATTTTAAATGGAAAAGCAGAACCTTCACAGACTTTTTTCCTTAATTCTTATTCCCCAGATGCCTTCACAATTAAGTAGTCAAATTCTCCAAAGTTCCTATAATTTCCTCAGTACTATTATTAGTCTGAGGGGAGCCAAGCAGACGTACTTACTGAAGCTGATATACATCCCTTCTTGCTAGTGGGTAAATACCATAGAGGTAAGGTGTCTTGTAGCAAAGTTTTTGCTGCTTCATTCTGCTGCATGATTGGATTGGCTCCTTAAAGCAGCGTGGGTCCAAAATGGGAAAATGTTTTCCGTTATTTAGTTTAAGAAATCATGTTCAAACAGGGAACTCGGTATTAGTATTGTGTGAGTGACACCATGGTAAGACATTCTGCATCTTACAAGCAGTCTGGATTTAACTTGTAATTCCAAAGTATGTTTTCACATTAAACTATTCTGATTAATAGTAATCCAAATGATTGGGAAGGTTAACTCAGAAGGAAAAGGAGAAACCTAATATTTGGATATGGCACTTTCCAGAATATAGCATGAAGATTTTATAAATATTTTCTGAAGAATTGGGTTTTTTTCAGTTTTTCATATTAGCACTGGTTCATAGTACAAAGAGGCACTAAGGAATGTGTGCTTTTTTCAGTCTGCTGATTCACTCCATGGGAATATTTTGTCAGCATTCAACTTGATTATAAACTGGATCACTTCTAGGCAATCTTACTTGGCACTTATTCTATGATATGTGGGATGTATAATTGCTATCAGATGGCAGCTATATAAAGCAAATAAAAAAATAAAGCATTCTGCTCATCCCAGGTGTTGGAATGTCTCTATTACTGAAACTTCTTTAACACCTCTAACACTGAAACGTTATAGAAAAGTAAAGTTCTAAAGTACTAAATTTCTTTAGTTGATTATAAATACATTCCACCCTATGAATATAATTGAACATTTAAAAAATCTAAATTCCATATTAAGACCATACCTTTTTTATGTCAACTCTGAGTTGCAAAATACTGCACAAATTTCTATATTCTGAAGATCTCTTCAAATGTCATCTCTTGAATGGAATGACTACTTTGTGAGCCACCCAGAGTCACCATCCAGGGAAGATAGGCAGCATACAAATTTAATAAATAAATAAATAAAAATGTAAGAAAAGTTGCAAGCACGCCAAGTGGGTTTATAAGGTACAGATGGGGAGTCCAATTGTGCTTAGAATTTCTCCAAACACTGCCAGAATTTTTTTTTTTTTAAGTTGATCATTCCGTTGTGTAAAATATAAAGTCTTGCAGTTAAATTTAAATGTGGCCTATTCTTATGTTAAAAACATAAGTGCTTTGGTAAGTGGAAAATCAAAACAGAAAATGGGAGGCGGAATGTTATATTAACAAAGCTGGAGATAATTTTAGAGGCAGTTAAATAGCCAGTAAAGCTGGCACTTTCTGGATATACAGTATTGCAATTACAATATTTAAAATGCTCAGTCCAAATCCCAAATATTTAGGCACTTCTCTGATGTTTCAGAGAAGCTGCTGGGGATTTGCATTTCAAATCATAGGAAGAAATCTCCCCACTCCATTGTTCTTTGGTCAGATCCCACCTTGAATATTGTGTCCAGTTTTGGATGTCACTTTCTAAAGAGGGTTCAGAGAAACAGCAACAGGTTCAGAGAAGGACAAAAAGGATGAACTGGAACCCATAAAATTAATTCTGTAGAAAGATAATTAAGGAACTGGAAATATTTAGCCTTCAGAAGATAGAGAGCACATGAAGCACTCTAAGTACTCAAGTACTTCCATCCCACAATGCAGTCAGGTATTGGGCACCTTTTAATTTAGATATGTACACCAAAACAGGGAATTGTGCTAAATGGCCCTTTTTATTAGTATGAATCTATGATAAGCTAAAACTTTCAGAAGGCACTGATAGCTGTATCCCGTTTCCCTGACCAAAATGGCAAGGTGTTCTTGAAATGGAGAATGAAATCCACCATGTATTGCAATAATGGATGAGTTCAATTACCCTTTATTATAAACTGGGTAAAGGCATGTCTTGTCAAAACAAAAATGGAAAAGAAAAAAATCACTTTAAATTACTTAGGACAACTTGAGTCCTGTTAAGGCTTTATAAAAGCTATGAGAAGCTTTACCACATAGTACCCATTCCACCAGAACAGTTTAAATGGCATATTTTCAAGACATTAATATATTGAACGTACATGTCTGTAGGAGAAAACCTTCTTCACATACAGTATATGCATGGGTTTCTACAACAGCCAGGATCTAAGAGCAGGAAGTAACTTGAATTTAATCCCAAATGATGTCCAAGATCTAGTGTGAGATGTGAATGTCACTGAATTAATTTGAAATAACTGCTTCTGATAAAAAGACAAACTAGAATGATAGAAGTTAGCTCCTGGAGAATAAGTCCTGCCTTGATAAACCACCTTCTTCTTGGATGCTTTGGAGTTAAGTTTCAGATTGTTGACTTGCTGCAATACTCAGCCTCTTTTCAGCTTTCACGGCCTTCGCTGCATGACAGGATTTTTTTTCCAGCTTCCACAGCCTGAGAGTTGAATGAAGATTAATAAAAGGGCTAATATTGGAAATCTCAATGTTTAAACGTTCTCAAACATCTGTAACACATATCACTATTTTGACATTTTTAAATAAAAAAAGAAAGGGTCTTTCTGTCCTATGCCAATTGTATAATATCATACAAGGGAATAATAGCCTTGGCTTTCATTTTAGGGTTGCTTGGAGCTACTCTCTTAGCCCATTCTTACGCAGCAGGAAAAGACACGTTGCTGAAACCTTCCAAACTCATCTTGGACTTAGCCAGAACTGTTAATAACATGCGGTAGACGTCAGCATCACGTGACAATACGTGCTGTGGGCACGTGGTCTAAAGACGTACGTCCATTTCCCGAGAGGCAATGCGATTTTTGTAGAGGTCAAGATGGCGGGGAGGGCTCCAGGTACGTAAGTAAAGGGGAAATTTAATCTGGGCAGTTTAACCGCCAAAGAAAGCGGTGTAATTGCGGTTGTGTCGTTGCGTGACCCAGGCAGGCCTGGTCTAATCGATAATGATGGTAAGAGAACGAAGAAGCGATAAGGGGCTTAGGGTGGTTCTCGGCCTCCAGGTGTGGCTGCATCGCAGTTGGTACGTGGCTCCTTCGAAGAAAACCCCACTGAATTTAGCTGTGCTTTGAACTCTGGTAAGAGAGTAAATGGCCGTATATAGGAAAGGGCAGACACGCTGTCTCCCCCCCCCCCAATGGTAATACCCGTCGCCGGATTGGGGAAGGCTGCTGCGTGTTGGTTTTTATTTCTTTTTCTTTTTTATTTATGTCTGATTGTTTTTAATAGTTGTTTATATTTCTTTTTAACTGTTTGTTTTGTTCTGCGGCGCCCAGAGCGTTGGTGAGATGGGTGGCTATATAAATCTAAATAAATAAATAAAATTTTCGCCAGCCGAAGGGCAGTAAGTAAAACCGCTTCTCGTCGCTGATGGAGAAGCTTGTTCGTTTATGTCTCCTGTATCTTGCGAGTTTCTAGTAGGTTGATGGTTTTTCTGCAGGCGCCTAGATAGGCTCTGAGTAATGTTGCTGGCTGGGGAATTCTGGGAGTTGAAGTCCACACATCTAAAAGTTGTCAAGGTTGAGAAACACTGCTCCAAGAGGATTTTTCGGTCAAGCTTTGATGAAATGACGAATTTGGACCTTAATTGGGACTCCCCTGAAACACTTGGATATGAAAGGGAACTCTAAAGTGATCTCTAGGACACCAACTAGTAGCTGTCATCCCTGCCCTGCCGTTTTTAACTTACACATTCCTGTCTCCTGTTCTGCTCAGAATGTATGCCTATATTGCTAGCCATCTGTAAGGTTTCTAGTGGTTTCTGAAAGCTATATGGCTGTTCAGTGGAGGATGGTTTGAAGAAAAGGTATACATCAACCTTGGAAGAAGAGGGAACAGGGCAGGAGTATACATTTTGCTTCACTTCACTTGGTCTTGATATTGCTGTTAGTGGCCACAGGAGTTTACTGATCAGGGGAAAAAGATGATAACCCTATCTGTTTTATCAGTCGGTAACCAAAGGGGCTTTTTTGTCAACTGTTTAACTGTTTCCTAAATGGGAGAATGCAAAGATGCTGCTACATTTCTTTGTTTCCCAAAGTTTATTCCCTTTTCTAATTCCAGCTTTATCCCCTACAGTTTTAAAACAAATATTCTGCAGTATTGCCAGTGTGGTTAATGTTTTGTATAGGCACAAAAATATAATAAAAATATCTTCATTAAGTTATGTGGGTGATTATATAAAGGAAGTCTGGTAAGAGGAACCTAAATTAGTTAGGGTTTATATGGCCCTCAAATTATGTGTTCTAGTATTTCTTTTATTTAGTTCATGATCAAGAGCATATGTTCTTGAGGTCCAGCCTCGTAGTGGCTTAGTGCTGATCATTAACTTAGCTCATTGTAAATCTGGAGGACCCACGTATTTCCATTTCAGCATAAAGGGATAAGGAAGCTAGAAGAGCAATATTCAGATCAGAATACAGTAAAAGCATTACAGGAGGTGTTATACTTTTTTTTTTTTTTTTGGCTACTGCAGTAAATTGAGTATTTACTTCTCATATTTTTCTTGGAGATGCATTATTTTAAAGTTTTTAAGGTATCATTCTGCACATGCATAATGAAGTCTAATCCTTTGAATTACTGGTCTTTAACTGTAACCACTAATACATTTGAAATTATATGATACAAAGTGGAAGAAAATATTTTTTCATCTATAAAATGTGTTACCTGCAATTGTTGGATGAAGCCAGCAATTTTATTCTTCTGAATACAGTTAAAACTATGCATTCATTCAAGGTAATGGTCAATAGGTGTAACAAAGTTTGTTAATAGCATCTGTCTGAACTTGTATATCAAAAAGCCCTTTTTGCTTACACCCAGAATTTTAGTAAGGGTCTCAGAGTTGATATACATATATACAAATTCTTCTTTCTGAAAAATATTGTACTCATGTTTTTACTGTTGAATTTTTCTGGGCTGACAATCCTATTTTCTTATTGACAGTGTTGCAGCATCTTTCTATATTTATAGTTTTGGGGGTGTTGGATTCTGGATACGTAACATGTGTACTGCTGTTAATCTAACTGATTCATACTTCTAGTTGCAGCCAGCGGTCGTCTGCTTGAGAGATTTTACAAGTGGTATTACAATGCACAAGGATTCAACAAATATGGTGGGCATTTTCTGTGAATATTTTTAAGCTATAAACTTTATTTGCTAATCTACTACTTGTTGGTGTGTAAGTTCTTTATTGAAATAGAATAATATTTTTAATCTCGATCAACAAGCAATCCATAAAAATATAGAAGGTTGCTGTTTATTTAATTAGTCACAAAATAGATTATAAAAAATTAAAATATATTATTTTAAATTATTTAGTTTATTTTGCAACTAAAAAAAGGAACAGGTATAGCTTATGTTAGTCAGTTTGACCAAACAGTGTCAATTGATTGTATATATTTGTCTAATGTAAAACAGTGAAGTGTTCCAGCCGTTTGGGTATCAACCCAATTTTTTTTTATTTCATTATGGCATCAATTTCACTTAGGATGGATATAAGGCTGCTGACTTCTAAGCAATCAAATATAAATGTCTTACTGCCAACTATAGCTACAGGCATCACTGAAGAGAAACAAGAATATGGTGAACTATGTACCCCTGTACATGTTTATTCAGAAATAAATCCTGTTACAATTAAAGGGTAAGATGCGTGTGCCCACATTATAACCAAAGTCATCAGTAACAAGATCACTGAGCATCTATTGCTCACTGCAGTAATGGTAGCCTCTTCTTCATGAGCTTATCTACTCTGTAACTCCCTGTGCAGAAATGGATTCAGGTTACTAATGTTTCTCATAATTTCTGCTAGATCAAAGTTTATAATATAGGTTTATGCATGCCTATTCAAAATAAGCCCTGTTAAGTTCAGTAAGACAGACTACCATATAAGTATATTCAGAATTGTTGCTTTAGTCTATATCCAACTCATTGAGAGGATAAGGCTGGCAAATTAGAAACAGCTACTGAAATATTAATATATTTTTTTAGTTTTAGTAGTTTTATTTTAATGTTACTCCAAGAGGAATGGTTCAGAAGTTCCAGATAAGGGACTCTAGAATGGTGATGTCATGCGACCATCATGAAAACATTTAAAAGGGTGTTTATAGTTATTATGCTGGAGTTTCAAGCGGGATGCTTTGGTGATTCATCTGTGATCCATTGTCCAGATACTTTTAACAGAGCTACAAAAATTAATTTCTTGATGTCATATGCAGCAGTTAATTGTGCAGTGAGTTGCCAAATGCAAGCTTGAAGGCCTTAGTATTCTTAAATACTGTTTTAAATGTTAAATACATTTTTCTCATCTAATTGATTGACTGGTATTTTAGCTAATGTGAGAAATATCTTTCCATTGCAGGATTAATGCGTGATGATGTAATACATGAAACTGATGTTGTCAAAGAAGCAATAAAGAGACTTCCAGAAGAGGTATATTATGAAAGAATATTTCGCATCAAGAGAGCAGTCCAGTTGAGTCTGATGCATGAAATCCTTCCTAAAGATCAGTGGACAAAATATGAAGAGGTATGAATTCTTGCATTCGTATTAATAAAAGGAATAAGCTTCATTTTATAGGGAAGGTTGGTTCTCAGCAGGCAGGAATTCCAGTGTCCTTGTAGAGATTAGTTGGTTTAAAATATTTATAGTAAAAATCCTCCCAAAGGAGTTTCTGCTAATCTGAATAGAATGAATGCATGTGTGTGAGAGAAGATTATGTGAGAAACTTTGAATCAAGTAATCATCCAATGTAGTACATCAGATTCTCTAGTACATGAGGTCTCTCCATTCTACTTACTGGTTAATGCTCATCATCTCCAAGGAGCCTTATCCATCTTAGGAAAGACATTGAAGTAAAGGCATTCTTTACTGTTCGCAGTTATGGTTGTACCTAGCTGTTTTGAATTCTGCCACTGGGCTTAGTCAGTAAATCAGGGTATGGTGTAATGCAGTGTGTGAAGCCAGCCACAGAGTGGTCTGACCCCAAAAAGAGATTGGGGTCATTCCGCCCATTAGCATCATCAGGATCCAGTAGTGTCAATAAGCTAACATGGTGTAGAATTAACTCAGATATTAGCAGCATGAAGCTTAATACATGACTTTCAGTACTCCCTTTATTCCATTTTAAGAGTCATAATAAAGCTCTATCTTGCTTTATAAAAAGTGGTTCTTAGTACTGCATCATGCTTAAAACAGAAGTGAATTGCAGAATCCTGATATGAAGCTGCATGGATAAAAGCAAAGTTTGTTTACTTTGTTTAGTCCACAAAATGAAAAGCAATCTTGTTCTCAGCTGAAGGAATAAGATCTAGTTACTTTATATCCTGGAGTTGCTGGAGATAAAGAGCAAAGTTGGCCTTAAACATTGTCACCCTATATCAAGAATCCGGCGATGAGATCCTCTCCCTCCCCCCCGCCAGCAGTATAACAAAAAGTGACATGGAAGACCAATATAATGTAGTCCAACCCTTGATACATATTCTATTAGATTAGAGGAAGGTAGTGTGCCTTGTGCATAGTAAATACGGTACAAGAAGAGAGCCATGAAAGAGGTCCCTTACTAGCTGCCCAGCGCTTAGTGAAATAACTTCCATAAGGATAATAGGTAATCATTTACAGTAGAAACCTATCTTGTGATACCCTAAAAGACAAATAGTTGTATTATTGCATACGCTCTATGAAGTCGCCCTAGTCATGAGCATCTGTTACGGTACAAGAAGAGAGCCATGAAAGAGGTCCCTTACTAGCTGCCCAGCGCTTAGTGAAATAACTTCCATAAGGATAATAGGTAATCATTTACAGTTTAAACCTATCTTGTGATACCCTAAAAGACAAATAGTTGTATTATTGCATACGCTCTATGAAGTTACCCTAGTCATGAGCATCTGTTACGGTACAAGAAGAGAGCCATGAAAGAGGTCCCTTACTAGCTGCCCAGCGCTTAGTGAAATAACTTCCATAAGGATAATAGGTAATCATTTACAGTTTAAACCTATCTTGTGATACCCTAAAAGACAAATAGTTGTATTATTGCATACGCTCTATGAAGTCGCCCTAGTCATGAGCATCTGTGCAGAGGAGGGGAATTAATGCAATTCGTATCAATCATTTTAAATTTAGATGGCTGTCTTCTCTGTCTTAATTTTTTAGGATAAGCGTTATCTTTGGCCACATGTGGAGGAAGTCCTTCGTGAAAGACGCGAAAAACAAGAATTAAGAGATAAATAACTTTCTGTCATTTATTTAAGCAAATGTCTTCTTTAGAACTTAAATTGTTTGGGCAGAGATGTTGAATACATTTGAATGCTGAGCAAAAAATTCTTTGCTTAGTAATATTTGTTCACCCAGTTCAAATAAATGTTACCAAATCTTTTTGGAATCCTCTTTCCTAAACTGCAAAGAACTGGTGCAAGCCTTTTCAGCCACGTTACATGTTGACATGGTGATCTTCATTCCAGTTGTTTGAGTAATTTTTTTGTCATAATACAGATGTTTCCTGCAGCTGGGAGGATAGATAAGCAATTATTCCTTTCTGTTTCTGTTATTCCAATTCATTTTTAAAAGAAGAGGTGCTCATGTGCAGAATGATTGTATATATCTTGTTCCTGGAGATGGAAATAGAGGCATGAAAGTTGGGTCAGTAACAGTGATGTGAAATCAGGATTACATAGTTCCCATCATATCTAACCAGAAAAATGGAATGCTCTATTAATATATGTTTTTGAAATGTGTAGTTCCTGCCAATTTTCAAATAAAGCCAATCGCCTCATTTAATCTGAATTAGTCACTTGGATGAATTTACTAAATAGTTGAATGTAACTTCAGCCTTGACAAATTACCTAAATATACCAGCTTGGGTTCATTTTGGAGAAAGATCCCATTAAACTCAATCCACTTTGGTGTTGAAAATTTCAAAATTTGGCTATGAAAGTTGAAATTTGTACTGTATAAAGGATGGTGGTCTCTCACTGGCAGTAATTTATTATTTGCATTGGGTTAACTGTAAACATGAATGAAAATATTTCTTTTCTGTTGAGACTCCTTGTTAAGTGGGAGAAAAACAGGAATGCATTTCCCCACTTTTCCTCTAATGCCTACATTACAATTAGCAAGCTCCAGATGGAGTTTGGCATTTACATATTGGTCAAACAACAATAACATCATCCCTTCAACTGTCGCACCCACTTTTCTGCCACTGTTGGCAGAAAAAGAGTACAAATTACTTTTGTGCTCCTTGGTTATGCATGAATTTATTATGCAGACAAGCTATTTCAGATACTCCTTTTATTTTAAAAAAAATAGACACAGAATGACTGTCCCATCAGTTTAGGAGCTACTTCTATAGTGAAGAGGGTACAAATTTTCATCCAGTGGGTATACATACATCCATCAAAATTCATGTATCTTAATTAAAATACATTTTCATTTAACTGGATAATATCCCCAAGTTTTTTGGAATCTCTGAACTACAGAACAACTTGTGTAAAAACTGGCAATTAGGTATTGCAATATGCTTCCAAGAGTTACCTGGGTTATGAAACCATCTTTATTTTCCAGAGAAATATCTGATACTGCTTAGCTATAAAAATGTAAGTATTATTTTAGGCTTATATAAATTGGATTTTATTTGCCTAAACAAAGGATTTGCTTGTTTATCTCTCAATCTCCTGTTATATTGGAATATCCCAAAGTGACTTCCAATAGTTGACTGGCAGTTTCAAAAGTTACTGTTGCCTCAAAGATTTACTCAGCCCTGTTACATCTAGTTTAGTATGAGTTTTCATGAATTGTAACCACTTACTCAAGGGGTTTCTTGGCAAGCAAAGGGAGGAAAAATGTTGTAAGTGATGTCAGAAAGTAAATCCAGAGAATATAGGTGTTACTGATTTCCTTAGGGGTCATTCACAAAGCATGTTCTTGCACTGATGAGTTGAATAGTGATACATCCTGTGATTAATCTGTGGGAGAATAGAGCTGATGAATTAGAGTTCAATTGTTTTGCATTGTAATCTGTGACTGTCTTTTGTTCAAGAATGACTTATTTAAGATCAGTCACAGAATAACCTCATACTGAAATGTATTGCTGTTTTTTTAATATTGCCAATTTGGACATCAACTTTGTGTCAGTTTATTCTTCTGCATAGAGACTCAATTTTTTGTCCTATGAAGAGAGGAATTGCAGAATTAGATCCTGCAATAGTGTTACCAATGTACACATTAAGGCATATCAATTCTATTAAATCAGGTAACAAAACATCAGAGATCCAATTCTCCAAAAATAGGATCATCCACATAGCGGCCTTTGCATTCCAATTTCATGGTTTTCAGAGCACAATTTCTTTAATGCACTACTACCAAGAAATCATGTAAGATTTTTTTCTTTCCAAATGCCCAAGATACCAGAATTCCTTTGCATCACAAAATTATCTGTATGTCAGAAGATATTTGCTTGAGGGGAAATATTTTTAAAGTACCCAGCAGCCCCATATTCCTATTAAGTACTGCCCCAATAGAGGTAGTGAAATGGAAATTGCAGAATATAATTCATGACCTTTTTCAGCTTTCTCAGGACTGGCTGAAGGAATAATGGGGCAGTAGCTCTTCACTCTGGTGATCCAGACTTCATACAAAGCATGTGAGACATGGTGGTTTAAAGAAGAGAGAAAGGAATAGCTAGAATGTTCTCCCTTGCTTTTTGGTTTCTGGTGTGATTTTGGAGTTTCGCCAAGAGGAAAATAACTGAGGCAAGCCAGTTTGAGATAATGGGTAACTTATTTCTGTCCCACTGCTGGCGTGGTTAAAATG